ATGACTGTTTAGGCCCCAGTGGTAGAGCCTCCCGTCAAGGGTGCGGGCCACCGTGTGCTCCAACCCGGCTGCAATGCTGCAAACGCCCATGCTGTCCAGTTTCTGCAGGCGCATGACATTGGCTCTTCGGATGTGATCCCCGGTGCCGAGAAGTCCATTGTTGGAGGCCCCGAAGGTGAAAAGTTGGGTGTGGAGCAGAGCGTAGCCTTGATGGAGCAGGTGCCTCGTGTTGACAGCAAAGCTGCGTTCTGAGTTGTCGCTGCTAAGGGATTTCACAGAAGCCCGCTCGTCCTCGGGCTCTTCTTTTCCACTGGCCACAGGAAGCTGAAGAACATCGTCGGCCAGGTTGTAGGGAGCAACAAGCATCACAAAGTGCTCGTTTCCGGCTGCCAGGTCTAGCAGTTCCTTGCCCTCTTCGTACAGACGCATGTGGCGGGGCTGTTGCTCCGCCTTGAAGACTTCTCCGCAGCTGCCCATGACATACGTTTCTCCTGCAGAGCCGACGAAGACCACGCCCTCGGCGGAGCAGCAAACCCGCCGGATGCGAACGCCCTCAGCGAGAAGTTCCAGCGGATCGAATCCGAGGGTTTGCCAGGCATGTGGGTGACCCACATCACGACCAGATCCCGTGACCTGGCGCTGCACAGAGCCGTTGCAAAGAACCACGAAGAGCTCTCGGCTGCCGGAGCAGAAGTCCATGTCCACCACATCGGTGCGCAAGAGTTGTATGTCCAGGTGCTCGCGGTTGGCCTGCAGCTGGGCGGAGTAGAGGGCGTGGTCGGTGGTCAGGAGGAGCAGGCCCTCGCCAATGCTGCAAATCCGCGATGCGGGTGCCCGCTGCAGAGGAGGCAATCCGCGCCAGTGGAGCTGCAGCGTCCTTCCCTCGTGGTAGATGGCGAAGCACTCCCGATCCTTCTGACCCCCGGATGCCGAGTCATCCGCTGCACTGGCCATGACGCGCAAAGTGTTGGTGGGGATTTGACCAGGGCCAAAGTTTTGTAACACGACGCAATTGCACGATTCGCCTGCTGGCCGTTCTCACATGCTGCACGAGCTCCGATCTCCGCTAGGCACTATTGGCACCATCAAACATCTTACGCCGCGAAATGGAACTCTGTTTTGGATGCCACGGTAGAAAAATGTCTGTTTTCACTTGATTTTTACTTGCTAATAAGAATTCATGTTTTTGTGATGGTTTCTTGGTCTGAATGTGGCCAGCGCTTTTAAGGAACAATTAGAATTTATTAAGTAAGGGTACTCCTCAAACTTTTAAGATTGGAATGCTTATCAGTCTGTAAACTGTATAAAGCAACGAAGATAAAAGTGATCGATGTTAAATTTAGCTAGTACTTTTGCTAAGATGCTTTTTGAGAGAGTAACATTTTGGGTAGTTTTCTGTATTGTATATTTTTTGCTTCTCTATTGAAATACTGTTTTGCCCTATGTACAATAGAATTCATATGACATAGCCAACAAAAAATAATAAATAATTATTTTTTTTATAATTTCTAATAGTACTTGCTTTCGTCACGCCACTAGTTAATGCATTCAAGTTGAAATGGTATTTTTTTGCGGCCCAACATTTTTTGTTATTTAAAATACGGTCATACTTCTATTGTTATCAGCTGTTTTGATTGGGAAAAAAGTTTTCTGCAGATTTTGTTTACTCGCTTAAAATGTAGTTTTCTCGTTAAATTTAATCCGTTACTCAAATGTAACACAAATATTAACCCTAAGTAAAAGCGCTGCAACATAAACGGGTACGTTTTGTTGGTTAGGTAAGGCCGTGTTGCCCGATTAGCATCCGCCTACAAAACTCGTTTTTGGCCACGAACTCATCCCCCAAAATAAAATTATCTGTACAGCTCGGCAATGGATTCAGACTGCGAGGGCGCTGCAGCGTTGGCTGATGACTCCGGCCACTTTAGCTGCACCAGCGACGAGGGAGGGGGCGATTCCGGGCAGAAGACGGAGCCGGAACGGGAGCAATCGATGTTTCTGGTGCGGCAGGAGCTCCTGCGGTCACGCAGCGAAGTGGAAAGACTCTTGAAATCGGAGCAGTGGTATAAGCAGGAGCTCAAGTCCCAGAAGCACAGCAGGCTGGAGACCCTGGAGCGGTTATACGCCCAGGAGCGCAAGTATCTGATGGAGAACCAAAGGCTGCAGCAGGAATCGATGCGGCTGCACTCAAAGTGCGTCACTCTGGAGAAGCAGCAAGAGCAGGGATCCCCAAGGTCCCCTGGCATATCGTCCTTTAAGGCGGACTCGGAATCACCCGACTCGTCCTTTGAGGCGAAGCAACAGGAGGCTCGCCTGCGGGATCAGCGTCAGTTGATTGACGTGCTCCGAAAGCAGAAAAAGATGCTTCTGGACGATATTCAGAGACTCAGCCTGGAGCACGACGAAAAGCTGTCGCAGTTGCAGCAATCCTTGGCTGGCATGGAGCTGGAGAGCAAGCACATGACGGGAAAGTGTAAGCAACTGCTCGACCTAAAGAGCCAAATGGAGCACCAGCTAGAGCTTAAGAGTAGTGCACTGCGCAGTGTCACCGCCGAGCGGGAGCAGCTCCGCCAGGTCATCGCCGAGCTGAACGAGACGCTGCAAACGCAGGAGCAACTGCTGGCGATCAAAGAACAAGAGTTCCTTGATCTAAAACAATACTACCAGCAAAAGTTGACCAGGGAAAGCAGCATGGAAATCATGCACTCCTATAGCCTGAAATATCATGAAGAGATCAACAGCAAGACAAGCGAAATTGCCAGCCTGAAGAACTCTCTTAACGAGCTTCAGGCGGAGTTGATGATGATGTCCCAGTTGAAGGAACAAAGCGAGGCGCAGCAGCGTCAGCTGGAACAGTTGGAGTTCAAGTTGGAGGCTCAACTTTTGGAGGAGGCGCAGCTCCGCCAAAGCGATGCCTTTAAGCTGGAGCAGGTGGAGAATTTAACAATTTCCTTGGCTTCCTTGCAAATAGAAAAGGAATGCCTTAAGGAAAATTTGAAAGAGGCGCAAAACACCCTACAAAAATTAGAACAGAAAGTCCACCTTCTTCACGGACAGTATGCCGAGATGTGTTTAAGGTGCGAAGAGACCAAGCTGCAATTGGAAGTAGAGAAAATTGAGATTGGCAAGTTAAAACAGCAAAGTTCCGTCAAGGAAAGTGAGTTAACGGAGAAACTCCAAGAGTATGCAGATCAATGCGATGAGCTTAGAAAAGCCTTAGCCAAAGCGGAGTCCAAAATGGATGACCAAAGCAAGAATGCTGAGATTTGGCAAGAGCAGCTGAAATCGATCGAACGATCGAGACAACAAGAAATTAAACAGTGCCAAGCGACTCAAACGGACCTCGAGGATCCGATATTAATTCAACGCATCGAGACTTTGGAATTGCAACTGGCCGATGTCAAGACCCAGAAATTACAAACAGTTTCGCTACTCCAAAAATTACTGCAGCAGCAAGACGCCAAGATAAAAAGCACAAACGAAATGGAAGCAGACTGGATACAACTTCTAGATGCCCTGCAAGCTACTCAACTTTTGGAGCAGGAAATGCGGGTAGAGCTTCAGCGTAAGACGATTGAACTGGAGCAATTAAATGAACTGTTTGCTGGGCAAAACGATGAACTGCAGAAGCTCCAGCAATTGAGTCTTGCCAAGGACGAGCAGAACCGGCTGGAGTTACAGCTGCTGAAGGAAACATTCCAAGAGAATCTGGAGATTCACTCCGCTGATTCGATAAACTTACAGAGGCTACAAAGCCAGGTTAACTCCTTGCTCGAGGAGCGGGAGAAAAGTACGCGAGAGGAACGTAAGGCAGTTGAGTGCTTGCGATCTCTCGGCCAAGTTCTCGAAATGGAAACGGGAAGAAGGCTGCCACACATAAAAAGCTGGCCACAATTGGCCAAACTTTTGCGAAAGGAACTGCGAAACGGGAGAGTAAATCACCGAAAGGCTGAAGAATTACCTGGCCTTAAAATGAAGCTAGCGGAGATAAGCGGACGGCACAAACAAGCGTTGTCCAAAATCGAGGTAAGAAAGGTTTATTAAATCGTTTATAAGACGAATAGATGCAAACTGTACTACACGTAGGTGCCACAAAAATCGCAGAGTCCATTCAGTGTATGTTTCATATGTACATCAAAATAAATTTTAAACCAACTAGCGTTGAAGTGATTTCTGTGGCACCTTATAAACAGTGTTCGGAAGATTTGAGTAACACAAAATAAATAAATATTTATTTTTCCGAAGTATCTGGAGCAAACATTGGCAGCGGAGCGAGCGCGTTTTGAAGCCTCGGATTCGGGTAAATCGACGGCCAGCTCCACACCCCAGGAACCAGCCCATGAGGTGGCTAATCTGATTGATGACTACAAAAAGGTAACTAGCTCCACCTAAAGTTGTAATCTTTCAATAATTAAAATTGAATTGTCTCGTCGCAGCTCGTCCAACAAACCGCCAATGAGACCTGTCGCCCTCGTAACAGCTTCATTTTGGAGCTGATCGAGCGGAGTCAGCGTTGCCAACCGAATTTGTGCCAATTAAGCGAGGATGTAACCGCCTGTCAGGCTGATATGGATGAGCTCAGCAGGTTGCTAAGAGCTGGTCGGAACCAGAAGAGGGGAGAGGTCATGCCCTCCCTGATGGAGGAACTTCGAGCAGTGGCAGAGCACTCTTAGACTATCAAAATGTAATTTTCAGTCTAATTTTCACAAGTTTCACAAGAAGTACTTAATGTTTTACCTCGAATTTTGTTAGTTTTTTAAATGTGCAATTACTCAATTAACATTTGTGTTTAACCTAGTCCCATTATCTTAATATCCTCTTAGATCCTACTTAGTAAAATTGTGGAAATATTCATTGTTTGTTTTTTATATGTTACCTTTATTTATTTGTAAAACCTTTTTGTTTAATTTAAAACTTTTCAACTTCTATGTGAACATTACATGCCAAGTTAAAAATCTATTTTTCCTAAATTGAACATATATAAACCATATTTGGTTGTCACAAAATACATATTTATTTTTGTAGTCGATAATATTTAGAAGTTAAATACCATGTGAAGAATAAAATATATATATTTGTGTGAAATCGATTATGGCTTTGGCGGTACGAATGGGCACCTCGGAATCGTTGTACCATCAGTGATCGTAATACTCTCTTTTTGCGAATATCGCGTGTTTCCATCTTCGTCCACTTCTAAAAGTTGCTCTGTTTCGCCTTTTCTAGTTCGCGTTACACCACACCTGGCCTTATTCTTGTTATCCATGCATAAGATAAGAAGTTCGGTGTGCAGTTTTTCAGTTGGCTTCAAAATCTTGGTCACTGTACAATACGATGTAAACTTTTTAGGGCAGGTTACTCCGGCACATTGCCAACCATCTAAGGATAAGTAAACGATTACATGCATACGAGCTTGCAGATAAAACCAACATTTACCCTTAGTTTTTTTTACAGTCGCTTTATTCATGTTCTCATTTAAGTGTCCATATGAGTCCACGGAAATAGATAAACTAGCCACCACTACTAGTAACAAGGGTAGAGAAGCATTCATAGCTGGTCCTTGCCGTTGAATTTGTTTTTATAACTGATTGGTGTAAAACAGAATATCTCATTTTTTGGATTTTCTTGGTAAGAGTTCCGTGTAAGTGCTGTGGTAAATTAATTTCGCTAAATATTCGTAGCATTTAAAAAGTTTAAAAGTTGGGTAACTGCTTAGGACAGAAATTGTAGACCTTAAGAATTAGATTGTCCATAAATCACACCTTTGTCCTAATTTGTACGTGGTTCACACCTACCTATGCAAGTACTATCCAAAACAGTTCCCTAAATGAAACAGGAAAATCGAATTCTAAGCAGCCAAATGTCTTGCAGACCTCATCCATGAATGATGTAAGCTGTGGCAAATCGATTTTGTGGCTTCATCTTCAATCAGAGACGGCGGCAGTCTTTTTCTTTTCTGCTCGAATATATTAAACGAAGGCATCCGACACCGCCCTTGGCATTGTCAACGCCTGGAATGGGATCCGGAGGGGCTCGTAGGGGGAGGGCCGAACCACTTGGGTATTGATAAATGCGTTGAAAACTAAGCGACCGCCCAGTGGATTACCACCTCCCCACGCCAGGCTCCCCGATCCTCGGAAAGCACCTCCCGCAGCCAGCTCGCGATGAGGAGCAATCGACCACAATCGCTGGTCAAATTCAATTGGCGCAATTTTTCATCTGTGGCTCCAAGGGATCCGATCTGGCGGATCCTTTTGGGCTGTTGCTGCTGCCGTCTATTGTTGCTCTGGGCCCTGGCAATTGTTCTCGGCTCTGGATCTCTGGAGCTATGGAGCTACGGAGCAACGGAGCTGCCGAGCCCTCGGCTCAAGGTTGTTTATTTTGAAAAATCACCATCACCCGATCGTGGCCTGTGCCGACGGCTGGGGATTTAATTCTACTCTGGACATTTATAAATTGCATTCAATTTATACACAACACGAAAGCGTGATTTTTACATTTTTACAATCTAGCGAATAATAGATCAGCGTCGTATTATTGCCGACTCCTCACTGCAATGCTCTTCGTAGCAATCGATGCTTTTGAGTCTTCAGCCTGTGGCATGAAGAAGGTTCCTTTACTTTTTGGAAAGACGGAAAAGAACTTGCCGTATTTATTACATCTTCTACAAATTGGTTTAAACCTAAATATGGAAAATATGATCCCAAACATGGGTTTTGGGTTGGTCGTTGTAAGGATTAATAAGAGGTTTGGTTATCTAAGTTCAATAAACATGGTACCTTTTGTTAGTTGTTTATTATTACAATTATAAATATCGTAGTTCTACTCAACCACATTCACAAAAAAAATTTTAGTTTTATTCATCGTAGATTTTTAAAGGTTAAATAATAAAACTGATAATACTTAGATATTTTTAACATGATAAAAAATGTTATATGTATATGTCAAAGTCATTTATAGTAAAACCCCAGAAGTATTTTCAAAAATGCGTTGGAAGCGATTTAAAGTCCCCATTTATTCCACTTGACTGCTGCACGGGATAGATCCCCTTTGGGGCTCTATTATTTAAATACAATTTCCCTACCTCATGCTGGCCCTTGAAAGCTTCGCCCCCAAAGATGGGGCATCGTCTCGTCCATTTGAATTGATCAGAGTGCTTTTTGTTGTACTTTTCTTTGGCTCTTTGATTTCGGTTCTATGTGTTGAGCAGGTCGCTCATTAAAGAGGAAGGAGTTGGCGGGCAGAGGGGCTTCTGGCCAAACAAAAGGCATAAACATTTAATTCTCACCAAAGCGATTGATGCGGTCGCAGGGGCGCAGAGCGACGATGTCGAGCTCCGTCCGACTGTAGGCTTGTCTGGGGATACGATCCTTCTTCTCTCCCAGCCAGGGTCTCAAATCTCGAAAGCCAGTCCTAGTGCCAAATTGCAAATGCAACTTGTTAACCTTGAAAACCGAGCGGACGGATGGCCCGGCGGACAGATAGTCAAGGAGCCTGAACCGCAGACCCCGCACAGTATGAGGCATTTAGTCAGACGTCGTCGTTGTTGTTGGTGGTGTTGTTGCTGTGGCTGTGGTTGTTGTTGTTGTTCTTGGTGATACCACTGATGCCGCTGTTGTTGTCCGTCTGCCGATCACTCGTTTGTCTAGCTGCTGCCCCCCGCCTATGTACGACTACACCTAAAGAAATAACTCTTAAAATGTTAGTTCTTACTATAGGTTGGAGGCTCCATTATAGCAGATTTAAGCTAAAAAAAACATTTAGGTCATCAGATTTCAGCCAAATTATAACTATTTAACAAACAAATGTCCCTTATTGCTCTTAAGATGGTAAAAAATAACGGGATTTTAATCCTTTAATATCTTTTAAGCTGCCAAATAACTTGTAATTTGCAGAAGCCGTAGAACGTTTATTCCTAGAAACTAAGTCTAAACGTTATTCATAGTAAACTCTATCTCACATTCCAATATGATTAAGATGTCACAAAGAAAATATGAAAATTAATTTGGATTATACCTAAGTTACCAGCGAGATTCTGTGCTCTGAAGAGATGGTTTTTATATTTTACAATTTAAAATGTTCCAGTTTTAATGATTAACTTAAACACTAAGATCTGCCAATCGATACCGAAAGGTTTATCCAAACAGAGCAATAAAACATGTTGGAGTTGACATTCCTCCTCTTCTTTTTGTCAGTGCAATTCGCATATTGAATAATGCGTTTATGGCCAGATGAATGACACTTCATACATGCGTCCCTGGAGCTGCAACTTGCAACTGGCAACTGGCAACTGGGCTCAAACGACTGGTAACGCAGGCCAGGAGGGTAAGGATGCCGGGTCTGCCTCCTGGTGGTGCATATTTCATGCGTAAACTTTGGCTTGGGCATCCGCCACTATTCGTCATTTGTGCCGGGCCATGTCAGTGCTGTGTTTGAAAGAAATTCGTTTAAATTGTCAATTGTCTGGGGTCCTACGGCTGCAACTCCTGCTGCAGCTCCTGCTCCTGCTCCCCGGCCAGGAACTGGTTTCCAGCCACTCCTAATGAGGCGCATCAGCGGAAAAAAACGGGAGTAAGGAGCGGGGGGCGAAACGAGGTGGCCCGAACCCTTTTAGCATTCAGCCGTGATGGTTGGTGGCCCCCACAGTGGCCCTGGATCTCAGGGCCTCGGTGCGTTTGCATTTAGCTGGCCATGCACATTAAAGTCGAGCCAACTTACCCACATTCGAGCGGCATGTTTAGTGCCCTGCCAGTGGTTCCCATTCCCGAAGCTACTCCCTGGAATCCATCCCATCCCATCGCACTCCCACCGGAGGGGCCACTTCCATTCTGATTTGGCCTGAGATTCGGATGCGGATCGGATCCTGCTTACTGGGTGTTGCAATGTCATTCCCTGCATTTTATACACTCGCCGCACTTTACAGCCCGGCCATAAATAAACTTGTATCTTTAAGATAGAAATAGTCGTAAAAAATCAGCAAATGACCCCGAATCCCTCGGTCGCCTGGAACCCCCCACGTCTAAGCCGCGTGAGAGCTTTTAGCCAACTCGAGACGAACTAGAACCGATCCCAGGGAACCATCAAATGGGAAAGACCCGGTCGGGCCATTTGGAGCATCTGCAGAACATGTGTAAGTTCCATATTAAATTTTATATTTAGCGCACGACTTTGTGCGCTTTATTTTCCCTTTTAGAATTTTGCATACAATGATACCGCATCCCTGTGAGATGATTTGAAGATAGCATGGACGAGATCGTGATTGAAGCGAACAATCGCGGTCATTAGGAAATTGGCTTTATGCGACTGCCGAAACATTTAAAGGGACTTAACCCATTTATGGAACCGAACGTAGAGTGCTTACTTTTGCAGGCCTTAGAATGATGAATTTCGATCATAACCCTCTTAAATCATTTTCCCTGCCCATATCGAAAGCCATTTAATATCCAAATGGCTCGGTTTCCCTCTCCGTATTTTTAATTTAAATACATTATTCATAAGAACGTTATTATCGCTCTTAACAAGCCTCCGAACTGCCTCAAGTGGCTGCCGGCCTTTCCTAAAGCATAAATCATAATTATATTCAACTTTTTACATCTGCCTCACCCCTTTGGGTATTATAAACACATCTTTTGGGAGGATGAAACATCTCAATGAACCTGTAACGTGGGCGCATTTCAATTTACCTTCCAACGCTGCTGGAACACTTTGACCCAATTCATTTCAATTCAATTGAAACATTTCTGAAGCGTTTAAAGACCAACCATAAAAGGCCGTTGAAATGGGTTTTTGTTGGCGAGAACTTGAGTTGGTAGTCGGTTTGTGGCAGATCATAAAAAATAATTAAGAAGTTTGTACTTGGTGCGATCTGGAAATCACGCAGTGCTCTTTGTTAAGCCTGGTATGGTGATTTGTGGAAAGTTTTGTACATTTACGCTGACCTGATAGCCTTGGTAATGCATTTTTACGAGAATGTTTTGGCCGCATCCTTACATACTTCATTATTACACTCAAATTTTAAAACAGTGAAATGAAATATTCCTCATTAAAAATACCCAATATAGAGTATCCCCGCTTCGCTACTCCAATCACTAATTAAAGCTCTTTCGGTTCTCTTCTTGTTTTCATTATTTGGACCATGGTTATTTAATCAATGGGGCTCAGTTGCGTGTAGTCCACATAAAAGGGAAGACACTCCAGCGAGCGCTCAACTCGAGACTCAGCCTCACTGCCTCCAGATTGGTACATTGATCTTGGCCCATTACGACATAGTGGAAAGAACCGTTAAGATCCGCGGATAGCGAACGAAATCAATGACCCAAAACATTTTTGGGTTGCCCACATTCTGTTGTTTTGATTACGTCAAATGGGATGCCAGCTGCTCCAATATGAGGCTGCGAGCTGGGCGGCTTTCGATCGATAACTATGCAATGCATTAACATTTCTCGATCCCGGGGCAGGGGATCCCAAAGAGCCAGAGCCAGAGCCACAGGAACAAGACAAAATGTCAATGGGAGAGTCTTGTTGCCGGCCTGGCGTCTCACCAGACAACATGCAAATAGCAAATAGCAAATAGCGCATAGCAAGATGCCAGAGCCCAAGTCCACGACCAAGTCGGGCTGAATCTGCAGCCCAAGGGGCCCATGTGGCCATGCAATTTAGTCAAAGGCCCTAACGGCATTTGAGCCAAATGCGTTTACGTTTACGCATCCGCTATAAACTCGTATGCCGGGTTCTGCTGCCACAGCCGCTTGCCGGTTCTCTAAGCCGGGACCTCGGAGCAGTGCTGACGTTCTAACCGATTTAGTGCTAGATGTAGGAATTGAAAAAGGGAGTCATTAAAAAACACAAAACTCTTAACATTCACGTTCTTGAAATCGAGTAGTGTTTACCGTTTTAAGTACTTTTA